AGAATTGGATGAATACCACCAAAGACCTAGAGCTGGAAGCCTAAATCCAACCTCCACAAGTTCGAATCTCAGAACTTCATTGGTGGCTGACTCGTCAAAATGTCATGCCAGGTATTCCACTCAAATATCCCAGCCCCCTACATCAACTCTACACAGATGCATCAGGAGAGGGTTGGGGTGCCCATTTCGATGATGTTACCATACAGGGAAAATGGTCCTCCAAAGAAAAGGAGTTACACATCAATTGTCTAGAAATGAGAGCGGTATATCTAGCCCTAGAAGCATGGCACGATCGTCTGCACCACTCGTCAGTAAACCCACGGAATGGTCACTACATCCCGAAATATTCAAACAGATAACCTGCCTATGGGATACTCCAAACCTAGATCTATTCGCCACATGTCTCAACAACCAGTCTATGTCAGCCCTGTACCAGACCCGCAAGCTCTCCAGGTCGATGCTCTCTCTATGGAATGGGAGGGAATGTTTGGGTACGCATTCCCCCCATGGGCTTTTCTAGACAGAGTACTGAAGAAAATAGAGGAGACAGACTGTGTCATAATTCTCATAGCCCTGGCATGGCCAAACAGGGCTTGGTTTCCAAGGTTACTACACCTCCTAGTGGAAGAACCTTTGAAACTCCAAGTATGTCATGACTTACTGAGACAACCGAAAACGGACATATTTTACAGTCGCCTCGACAATCTCAACCTTCACACTTGGAAGTTATCTTGAATAAGATGCAAGCTGCCGGTTAGTCTAAATCAGCTGCACGAAGTGGAAAGCTCATGGATACCAGCATCGTCTGCCCTATACAATAACAGATGGGAAAAGTTTGTCGAGTGGAGAATGAGAAAGCATTTACACGTGGAGATAACGATACCTATTGTGGCTGAATTCTTGCTCTATCTCAGAAACGACAAGAAATTATGACATGGCACTATCGAAGGCTATAGATCCGCCCTGGCATCGGTATTACAACACGATGGCCTATCTATAGGTACCCACCAAGTACTGAATCGATTCATGAAGTCCTTTGCACTGGAAGACATTAAAGAACCAGGTATATTTCCAAAATAGGACCTATCTATAGTATTGTTAGCATTAATGAAAGCACCATATGAACCCATGAGTAGTGCGACATTAGTATTAGTCTCCAGGAAGACTGCATTTCTCCTAGCCATGGCCCCTGCGGCTCGTGTATCAGAATTGCACGCTATTGACATTTCCACTGTAACTCATACCCAAGAATGGAAATCAGTGTCGTTCAGATCACTTTCAGAATTTATTGCCAAAAACCAGTCGTCAACCTTCGGCCCACTCGGACACAGGCAATACACAATACCAGCCTAAGTAAAAGTGTGGACTATCCGGACAGATTACTTTGTCCCATAAGAGCCTTGAGATACTTCATTACAGCAACTCAACCCCACAGAAAGCAGAGAAAATGCCTTTTTATCTCTTGCAAACCTTCGTCAGAAAAGGACATAACCAAGGGTACTGTAGCGGGATGGCTCAGATCGGTTATCGCAGATAGCTATAAACTGGCACAAGTCTCCAGGCCAACTTGGGGACACTGCAGGCCTCACGAGATCAGAGCCCTTGCAACAAGTCTAGCCACATGGAATACAGTATCCATTGAACAAGTCGTAGCTAGCTGCCAGTGGTAGTCCCATAACACGTTCTCAAACTTTTACTTACGAGACATACAGACCGATCTGGATGGACTATACACACTGGGACCCTTGGTGGCAGCCCAGGTGATAGTCTCCAAGTAACCTTGTTCCCCCCTCTTCCAGAAAGGGGAAAAAGAGGTGTGTGGGGTGTGGGGTGTGTGTGTGAGGATTTCAGAATACCTCATGAACTCAGGGTAAGTTGACATTTTTACTTAGTTTGCTATTGGATTAGTAAACAAGGCAAGTGCCAACACTGAAATCAGAGATTGAAGGATTAAGTGATATACGGTTTCTACATGATAATCTAGGATGTATGACGTACTACCACCGGAAGTGACGTCATGGGAGACATCGCACCGGACTAACGTAAAAAAACCCGTTAAAAATCACTATCCAAAAGGGCATAACGGAAAACCATGTCATAAGTGGTAAGAGATCATAGAAGACATATACCACAACGTGGGCATGGAATGACAACCGGAAGTGACGTCACAGATGACGTCATCACCGGAAGTGACGTCATAATATGTCTAAGCATCACAGTGGTGGATATATACCCATTATTTGACGTTTGACATTTCTCTATGTCTAGCCTTGTAAGTAGACTTATAGACATATTCCGTTTGAGCCCCTTTTGGCATACAATCCTTGGGTTACCACTTCACAAAGCCAAATATCTAAGGGATGCTAGATACCAGAACCCACCGGTCCCTCTGGTGTATACTGGCAATGATGTAATAGAGGTAGGGTATTCACAAGAGTTATCAAACAATAGTTATCATTGTGAATAATTCTAAGAATACTACCTCTATTACATCAGCAATTAATCCCTCCCACCTCCCCCAAAATCTGCATCTAGTTGATGAAGATAATGGGTTGAAAGAAGTGAGGTGATTCCCGCCTTGCGCATGCGCAGTGGCGCCCCTGGCGAGGGATAGTGTTTCCCTCACAACTATTAGATATGTTGGCAGTGAAGAGGACGTCAGTTGAAAATGTATAAAAATTTGTAGTGTGGTTCTCAGCATAAACAGGAATTTATGGCAATGATGTAATAGAGGTAATATTCATAGAATTAGTTACAATGATAACTATTGTTTGATATCTTCATTGCCATGGCTACAAGCCACAAGTGTGACTTTAAACACCTTCAACACCCACCTTGTTCTTCTGGTCTGGCTTCATCAGACTTCCATCTGTTTCCAAACATGAAAAAAGCTCTACCTGGGACACATTTCAACTTGCATGATGACGTCATCGCAGCTGTGGAGAACCTTTTGAACAGGAAAAGGACTTGTTTGAAACTGGGATTAAAATCCCTCCAACATAGCTGGCAAACTGAATAAATGTGGAAGGGGAATATTTTGTAAAGTCAATCATTATCATGTCTTAAGATCAAACTTTCAATGTGAGGCTCAGAACTTATCAATTAAATCTGTGCCTTCATATGTACATACACACAGGACAAGGGCCAGTTGACGACAAAGGTGTTCCTGCAGCTGTGATAAGTGTTCCCTGGAAATATAGGTACACACAGGGCCAGTAGATGACATAGGTGTTCCCGCAGCTGTGATAAGTGTTCCCTGGAAATATAGGTACACACAGGGCCATTAGATGACATAGGTGTTCCTGCAGCTGTGACAGGTGTTCCCTGGAAATACAGGTATACACAGGGCCAGTAGATGACATGGGTGTTCCCGCAGCTGTGATAAGTGTTCCCTGGAAATATAGGTACACACAGGGCCAGTAGATGACATAGGTGTTCCCGCAGCTGTGATAAGTGTTCCCTGGAAATATAGGTACACACAGGGCCAGTAGATGACATAGGTGTTCCCGCAGCTGTGATAAGTGTTCCCTGGAAATACAGGTACACACAGGGCCATTAGATGACATAGGTGTTCCTGCAGCTGTGACAGGTGTTCCCTGGAAATACAGGTATACACAGGGCCAGTAGATGACATGGGTGTTCCCGCAGCTGTGATAAGTGTTCCCTGGAAATATAGGTACACACAGGGCCAGTAGATGACATAGGTGTTCCCGCAGCTGTGATAAGTGTTCCCTGGAAATATAGGTACACACAGGGCCAGTAGATGACATAGGTGTTCCCGCAGCTGTGATAAGTGTTCCCTGGAAATACAGGTACACACAGGGCCATTAGATGACATAGGTGTTCCTGCAGCTGTGACAGGTGTTCCCTGGAAATACAGGTATACACAGGGCCAGTAGATGACATGGGTGTTCCTGCAGCTGTGACAGGTGTTCCCTGGAAATACAGGTACACACAGGGCCATTAGATGACATAGGTGTTCCTGCAGCTGTGATAAGTGTTCCCTGGAAATAGAGGTACACACAGGGCCAGTAGATGACATAGGTGTTCCCGCAGCTGTGATAAGTGTTCCCTGGGAATCCAGGTACACACAGGGCCATTAGATGACATGGGTGTTCCCGCAGCAGTGACAGGTGTTCCCTGGAAATACAGGTACACACAGGGCCATTAGATGACATAGGTGTTCCCGCAGCTGTGATGAGTGTTCCCTGGGAATCCAGGTACACACAGGGCCATTAGATGACATGGGTGTTCCTGCAGGTGTGATAAGTTTTCACAAGGGATGAAGTGATGAAGTCATGTTTTAGAACTGGACAGACATCTGAGAGTATTTGTGTTTATGTAAGTGACTGTGTCATGTATTTCTGTCTGATATAAGCTATGGGTGATGGTTATTCCTACAAACAAATGATATACTGAAATTTATGTAGATTTGGGATTACAAACTTGCTGAATATCATATTCAGCAAACTGGTACAAGACTGGTTAGATGATTTCCTTTACTTTCCTAACTCTCACAAGTTATGAGTTAAATGTTTTGCAACTGTAGGCATGATCAGTGAGGTGTGAAGTGGAGCAGTGTCTGAATGTGGCACTGCTGCATGGACAAGGCCACAGCAGGCTTACACGGTGTTCTGTAGTATTGACTGTATTCAGTAATCGTTAATCTTTGGAGTGTTTGTTTTGAAATTAATCTTTTTTATTTATATTATCCATAGAATGTTCACCTTACTAACAATTCAAAGTCCCATATGGTCATTTTTTGTGGGTGTTGTGTTCTTTAATCACACTGAAAAATGGGTTACACTCCTGATACGGTTTCAAAAGGCCATTTCTTATGCCGCCGCCTTGATGTGGTTTGAATGTTGTTGAAAGCTGCATAAGTCCCTATCATTGTGACCAAGGATTACATTACACGCTAGCAAAACTATTTGGGAAACTATTGTGAGCTTGAGTTGTTGTACACATGAGGTAGCTAATGGAGCCTGTGTGTCATGCAGGTTGTCCGGAGATCACCGTCCCCGTGAAGGACGTGGATGTGAGGGAGGGGGATGACGTGGTGCTGGAGTGTGCTGCCACAGCCGACCCTGCACCCGCGGTCACCTGGTATCTGGGGTATCAGCAGATAGATGCAGATGATAATCGGTATCATACACACTTTGTTGAAGCCAGTGGCAAGGCCACCCTCACCATCTGCTGTGCCGAAAACATGGACAGTGGTCAGTTTCGCTGTGTGTTCACCAATCAGTATGGAGAGGCAGAGACCAAGAACTCAGTTACAGTCAAGAGTGAGTTTGTCTTGCCAAGAACACAATAACATAATCTTAGATATTGTTGCCTGTGTCAGTTAATGTAGATTCTACCATGACATTGATGAATGCTTGATTCTGATTGGTTAAAAAGAGGTTTCCTTTTTGCTACGGAAACACCTTTCAAATATATTAAGCCTTTTCACAAAAAACGTGTGTATGAATATATAAATAGCCTACAAAGCTGAGCGATCACCCCCACATGAACTGTAAAACGTATCTATATTTCCTCTATTGCACGCTGGGTCTCTAATACCAGCCAGGTTTCTAATACACGCCGAGTCAAGGACTCTCGCAAAATTAATAGACGGCATAGCGCCAAATGGAGGAAATACGGTAGTTTGATATCAGATGTTTTGGGCGTTGGCTAGGCCGCAACCCTGACTGCTTAGATGATGACATTAAAAGATTTAACGAAGGCATATCTTTTGCATACAGATGAAATGTTTATGAAACTGTTAGGGAAATCTTCTATGGTGACCAGAATTGGAACAGTTTTAAGCTATTTCCTCATTTGAAACAACCAACAATGAAAGTAAAATAGAACATTATAAAAATTGTTTGAAAAAACTTTATTCATGACAACATGTTGTTTACAAACCTTTTTGTGATCAATATTCGTCGCTATCTCCGTCAACCACCATCGTAAGGATTTCGCAGAAGAGAATTTGAAAGTCCATCACTCAACTTGTCCATTCGAAAAGCCACGACAACAATGTCCCGACATCATTGAAGTCAAACTTGATGAAATTCATTTCAGAACACGCACAATTAAGAAAATCGTACACTCTGGCTTAGAATCCATGAAATCTTGAAATTGGAGGTCACACCATGCAGATACTGAGATAGGCCCAACCTGGTGTAAAAATGTCCGGCTCGTCTGCAGGCTAAAAAACGGCTGTTCAGTCATACTCAGTTCCATTGGTAGTCATCAGCAGGCTTGATCATTCCCGGTAAATCTACAGGTTAATGTTGAACCACATCATAGATCGGGGTTGTCATCTTGCTTAATTTAACCAGCAACGGAGAATGTTAACACAAGATTGTCAGCCATTGACAGCTGCGAGGTGTGAGTAACCGTGAAGTAGGTCAAGTTCTGCCACATCCAAGTTCGGGGTGGAGAGGCATTTATTTTGATGTTATTATTGTTTACTGGGGGTAATTGCTAACTAACTAATAACACTTACACATGTTAAATGTATTATAGAATGTTAATTCAAAAAGTTTGTTGTAGAAATATATTCGTCTAGCATTATAAAACCTTTTTCTACATCCTGTCACCCCTACAATAGAAATGATGGCATGTTCGATTTCCAAGAAATGACCTCTCTCGCAAAATTCCAAGAATTGACAGTCAGTCCACAGTGTACAACCGTGTACATCAAGTTGGTAGAGATTAAAACATCTGTCTTTGGACTAAGTTTGGAGTGTTATTTGTCAACTTCTTTTGAAAAACTATTTATTTTAAAGACTTATTTTGAATTACTCACGACTATGGTGTTTTTAATCTTGAACTTTTGTAATAATTGTTACATATATAACTGCCTGTGACCACTTTTCGGAATGTTCTAAGATTGCAGACCTGTGTGCCTGTGTTGTTACGAGGTGCAAGAGAGCGCCGTTTTCAAAGCGTTGTTGCCGTCATGGTAGAATGGAGATAAACCTACTGTGTTTTGAAATTTGATGTAGTCCCACTGTAGAGTAGATACCTCTTTATTTTAATTTTGAACCAAGCACTTTAGTAGCTACATCAAATTTCAAAACACAGTAGGTTTATCTCCTAATTGGATAAGTTAGACATATATTTTATTGTGATAGTATTTTAGTAGTTCATTTGATAAAGTTGTGATTCCCTGATACCTGTATCTGTTGCCTATGCATGAAAGCCCATGATACCATCACAAGTATATCCAAACTATATATCTTCCTGATTCTCAGTTCCATGTTTGTTTCTCAGCTGTTTTATCCAGGTCACTTCCCATCCAATGTCCATCCAAGCAATCCCACTGTATCCTTCCTATCTGCCACATATCACCCATCTCACCAATGACATCCTCAGGGGCCCTTTACCCGCCAATTCCCATCTAACCCGATTTTCCCTTCACAGACCATCTCACCATCCCACCTCCAATGACCATCTCACCGTCCCCTTCCCATTCAATGGCCATGTCAAAGGCCTCTGCCCTGTTCAAGAACATCTCAACAGCCCCTTTCCCTTCAATGGCCATTTCACCAGCCCCCAGCTTTCCTTCCAGCAACCATCTTCCTGGCCCCTCAAGTGACCATCCATCAGCCCCTTCTCTTCACTTGTTATTTTATTGGTCCTTCCCCATCCCCTTGTTCATGTTCCCCTGTCTGTCACCTGCATGACATTTACCCTTGTGGGATTTCCAGAGAAACCTGAGAAAGTCCCAGTGTTTTCATTGGGTCTGCATGATGAGACGGTGATAGAGGGGCACTCCATCACCTTGACCTGTACAGTGGCAGATGCTGAGACCATTGGTTGGTACAAGGATGGGTTTGTCCAACGCAACTCCTCAGACTTCAAGCAGAGCTATGATGGAGATGTTGCCCGTCTCGAGATTGGAGAAGTCTTTCTGGATGATGTTGGGGAATATGCCTGTGTTGCTCGCAATGAGTTGGGGGAGGATCGCACGGCATGCCAAATAACTGTGACAGGTAGCACTTGATCAGATTCCACAGTTTCACTGACTAGTAATACAAAAATTAGAATAAGAATCATCCTTAAGTTAGGACTGGACTGTGAGTACTGTATTTCACCATGCCACTCTTTCTTGAATACTTTATATCAACATGTTTTGAAAACTCAGAATGATATATTGCATGATCCAAACACTGTCACCTGAATATTAACTTCCATCTTCATGCATGTATAATATTATATGCCTGTGCACCACAAAACTCTTGCATGTACAGTCCTTATGCCATTTTAGGAATGTATGCATGAGTTATAGCATCTTCTTAGAATTCACATTCTAGTGCTATTATTTACCCTTTCCACATCAGTCTGCTTGCATGTATTGACATACTATCAGCAACTAGACTGAGATCTGACTGCTGGTTTCAGCCTGTGACACGGAGACGTCCGTTGTGCCCATGTTCCTCACCAAGTTCACCAAGTCTGTCATCAAGGTCGGGGACAAGCTCCTCCTGGAGTGTGATATTATTGGGTCACCAGAACCAGGGATCAACTGGACCAAAGATGGCCGTCCTCTGCGGGAGGACTGCCCATATAACGAAATGTACGACGGACGTACAGCAAAACTTGAAATAGAGGATGTCACAACCGATGATTCAGGGAAATATGAATGTATTGCTGTTAATGAAGCTGGTCGAGTGTCTCTTGATGCCAGTGTCACAGTGCAGGGTAAGATCAACCTGACTAAATACATGTAGGGATTTTGAAGCATTGAAGTTATATCCATTGTTCCAAGTTAGTCACGGTGTAGATCTTTGATCTCAGTGAGATTATGCTTGTTATCTGTTATCATTTCAGTAAAGAACAAGTCTCCATCTGTGACGGTTCCACTGTGTGATGTGGACATTAAGGCAGGTGAGAGTGCCATCTTGACTTGTCACATCTCAGGCTTTCCACAGCCAAGCGTCCTATGGAGGAAGAATGGAATGTTGATTGGGCACACCAAGGACTTTAAACAGATGTATGATGGCAGGATAGTGAAACTGGAGATCTATGGAGTGTGTTTCCAGGACAGTGGGCAGTATGAATGTGTCGCACGCAATGGACTGGGAGAGACTTCAACCACATGTCTACTCACAGTGAAAGGTTTGTGCCAGACTGTTTAATAGACACAAGCACCTGTTTAGCTATCTTGAGCTTTTTTTCGCTCAAAGTCTAAATTACAAATAGGTTAACATTCACAACTCATGCTTCAAACACAGGAGACAAAGCTGTTGTTATGACACTGACTTTGGAGGAGTTGTACAGTGGGAGATTACATGCGCTGGACTCATGCCGAATGTAGGCGGCTACAGCAAGCTGTCATTTGGTATGATGTTGGCTAAATGAGAATTACAGAAACGACAGGTGTTATTTGTTGTTTTTTGGTTCTTGTGATGGTTGTGTTGAAACTGACTGATGCCTGATACTTAGAGTAATATCAAGTTATTCAGTTGGACATTGTATTTATGGGTATTTGCAATTGTATGAGTCAATTGTTTAAAGGTACTTGTTTCTGTGATTATTAGTTACCTGAAGATATTTCCTTAAATATTGGGGTACGGCACAGAAACTCATTATTGGTATCAGCCACAGGCTGAATCAAGCTAAATCCTGATTGGCTAAATATATGCAGTGCTCTAATTAACGCAATTAGCATGAAATTTGAAGACATTTTAACAGCCTCATCTAAAAAATTACCTCTGGCACTGCACTGGTATGGCTTTCTAAACAGTTTAAGGGGAGAACTCTTCATGATTGGGCTGGGCTAAGTGATGGAAGCCACAGAAATCCTGATAAAAGGAGGATGTCTACAGGAGAATTAAGAAGGCTGATGTGGTGAGATAAGCATGATCAGTAGAAAAAATATTTGAAGGTTTCAATATAACATGTATTATATATGATCCAAGCTAAATCATCTCCACAGTTCCATCACAAATCACAGTAATAGTACAGTTTAAAGAGTGTAAACCTTGACATGTAATCATCAACATACCACAACAAAGGTTATCTTACATGTTAATATTTAGGAATTGTTCTCATCAATATGACAAGTCACAAGATTGCTATATTTATTATAGTTACTATCTCTGAGACAATGTTTTTTCAAGTTTGACATTGCACTTTAAATACTGTAACTTATTTTTACTAATCCCCTCACGACCTCCCTCAATATGCCCAAAGATGAATTAATATATAGGAGTATCAGAGACCCAAGTCTGAATTTTGGAGGATTGCGTGCAGGTGGTGTGTGTTGGGGATTTATTTCAGAGTGTTTCAAGAACTTAACATGATTAAATATTGAATTATTGTAAAACCACAAAAGCTGCCATTGGTAAAAAATGAGATTTCATACTGTTATTATTATAATGGCGGATCATGAGATTGGGGTGGGTTTGGGAAGTGCACATGATCATGTACTGTTGTAATTTACTTCTCAAATACATTCATTACTTTTGTATTAATGATAAATATTAACTTGAAATGTTCACTTTTTTCATTTTCAATCAGAATTCATAATGTGATCAAGCACAGGCAATATACATGAAAATGTGCCTATTATATTAATATAGTAATGTATTGTTTACCTTTCACCAGCTAATAATAGCTTAGCTTTAGATTACAAGTATGTTATAAAATGAAAAATATGTTTATATTAAATATTTGCCATTTGAAGAATTTATCTGAGGTCATTTTTTAGATGAGGCTGTCAAAATGTCTTCAAATTTCATGCTAATTGCTTTAATTAGAGCACTGCATATATTTAGCCAATCAGGATTTAGCTTGATTCAGCCTGTGGCTGAAATCTACTTCTGCTCAGGGTTCGTAACCTTTTTCGAGGTTTACGAAATAAACTGTTGATATTTCGGTAAGTAAGGGACATTCAGCAAATTTAGATGACTTGTACATGAGTAGAAATGTGGTATTTATCAATCTACGGCCAGAAATGGGCTTGTCAATAAGCGGATCTTAAAGAAATCGACCTGGATATCGAATGTAAACACACCGGCAAGATGGCAATGCATTGTGTTCCTGGCCCAAGTGAGGCACAGAGATGTGACTCTGTGATGTACTCACTGACAAAAGAAACGCAATTACCATGCATTTGGTTAATATATGAAAAATTACTCATATTCAAGAGATATTAGATTGGTTCGATGCACAAACAAACAAACTGTTAGGTTGCATGAAACGTTGCTCGTGAGCGCATCACATGTAACGTCATAGATCCATGACTCGTGATACACCATTTGTCTCGTGCAGCATAAGATTGTAAAGTTTGGAAATCATGTGCAGCATATCGTGATAAGAATAAAGACACTCTGTGGTAACACTTGATTCATTGTTAGTTTTGTCATTAAGTGGAGTGTACATATTTCTCTATATGTGAGGTACAGAGATATGAGTCTACAATGCACTGATTGCATGGCCCAAGTGAGATAGATATAACTCTATGATGCACTGAGTGCATGGCCCAAGTGAGGTACAGAGATATGAGTCTACAATGCACTGAGTGCATGGCCCAAGTGAGATAGATATGACTCTATGATGCACTGAGTGCATGGCCCAAGTGAGGTACAGAGATATAACTCTATAATGCACTGGGAGTATGGCCCAACCAGCTACCTAGATATGAATTTTTCTTGTTGTAGTGACAATAAATTTGTTTTCCTGCAGATACATCAGCCCCACAAGAATCAATGTTGCCACCATCCTCCAACATGTCCAGTTCACCGATCACAAGATCTACAACGCCACCACAAACCATCATTGGTCTAGCCTTGTCTCGTCCTGCCTCACAGCGGAGTAGTCATGGACCTCTACACCTGTCTTCTCCCACCAGCCCTACAGCTTCACAGAACATCAGCAGCAGTTCTGTGGGACAGGCAACTTCCCATACATCTACCAAGGTAGTGTCACCCTTGGTCTCTCCATCTACTGCATTGCCCACCCACATTATTGGGAAGGCTCTGACAAGGTCCGCTTCCATGACCATCACTACTGTAGCCTCTTCTGCAACCTCTCCATCAGCTCCATTACCAGCAGATGTTATTGGGAGTGCTGAAACGTTGTCATCTTCCAAGATGTCTACAAGTTTAGTCACTTCTCAAGAATGCAAGGCTTCTGCTTCTTTCACAAGATCAGCCTCCCAGAGATCTATCACGGTAATCTCTTCTCCAGAATCTTCTCCCACCACTCCATTGTCATCTCATGTCCTTGGTAAAGCCATTACAAGGTCAGCCTCGCAGAGAGTCACATCATCCTCTCAGAGCAGCTCATCACCACCACAGAGCATTATTGGAAAAGCACTAGAAACTTTAGCTGCCAAGTCACCTTCATCACATCAGAATGTAAGCAGATCATTGTCCTCGCCAACCAATACTCAAATAGAAATATTAACAAAGCCACTAACTGGCACTGTTGGTGATCCTCCACGGATAATAAGAAACATTCCAAGTACTGAATCCATCTCTGTTCCTGCAAGGTCCAAGCCTCTCAATACCATTGGTAAATTCCTTGCACTGTCCGCAGCTAAGGACTTGGGTCCATCATTCCCCATCAGGACTACACTAGATAGTCCCACAGAAAGAAGCCCCAGCCCAGTCACACCAACACAGCACCAGGAGAGCAGTAACCTCAAGAAAGCTCAGACACAGACACAGACACAGACACTACAACTGTCCAAAGTGCAGCAATTACGTTTGCAGTTCTTAGGCGAGGCCAACCAAACCAAACAGAATAAAGTCAGTAGTGCACCAATCAGAAGATGGCATTCTCTTCCTCCACAAGACCTCAAGCCAATCATTGTCAAGGTCAGTCTGTTTTCGTCTCAGTCCTTAGTATAAGCAACAAATGAAGCTATCTCTATGGTTGTTAATAGATTTGAGATTGATACTTAGAACATAGCTTTTTGAGACATGAGGTAATAAAACAATATTGATGTTTCATGAATACCAGCTACATATTTTTCTCATAGCTCAAACATACCACTCAAGGCTGCTGTGGAAATGCTCCTGTCACTTGATATAGAACAATGTTTGTTCATAGTGCCTCAAACCTATGAGTGAAAGTTGAAATATGTCATGTATGGCAATGTTGCTTGTTCAACAATTAAAACAAATGCTCATTTTTGTGTTTTGACATGAATTGGGAAGGGTCAGACATACATGTAGTTTGGAGGATGTGAAGTTGGAAGGGTCAGACATACATGTAGTTTGGATGATGTGAAGATGGAAGGGTCGGACATACATGTAGTTTGGAGGATGTGAAGTTGGAAGGGTCAGACATACATGTAGTTTGGAGGATGTGAAGTTGGAAGGGTCAGACATACATGTAGTTTGGAGGATGTGAAGTTGGAAGGGTCAGACATACATGTAGTTTGGAGGATGTGAAGTTGAAAAGGTCGGACATACATGTAGTTTGGAGGATGTGAAGTTGGAAGGGTCGGACAAACATGTAGTTTGGAGGATGTGAAGTTGGAAGGGTCGGACATACATGTAGTTTGGAGGATGTGAAGATGGAAGGGTCGGACATACATGTAGTTTGGAGGATGTGAAGTTGGAAGGGTCAGACATACATGTAGTTTGGAGGATGTGAAGTTGGAAGGGTCGGACATACATGTAGTTTGGAGGATGTGAAGTTGGAAGGGTCGGACATACATGTAGTTTGGAGGATGTGAAGTTGGAAGGGTCGGACATACATGTAGTTTGGAGGATGTGAAGTTGGAAGGGTCAGACATACATGTAGTTTGGAGTATGTGAAGTTGGAAGGGTCAGACATACATGTAGTTTGGATGATGTGAAGTTGGAAGGGTCGGACATACATGTAGTTTGGAGGATGTGAAGTTGGAAGGGTCGGACATACATGTAGTTTGGAGGATGTGAAGATGGAAGGGTCGGACATACATGTAGTTTGGAGGATGTGAAGTTGGAAGGGTCGGACATACATGTAGTTTGGAGGATGTGAAGTTGGAAGGGTCAGACATACATGTAGTTTGGATGATGTGAAGTTGGAAGGGTCGGACATACATGTAGTTTGGATGATGTGAAGTTGGAAGGGTCGGACATACATGTAGTTTGGAGGATGTGAAGTTGGAAGGGTCGGACATACATGTAGTTTGGAGGATGTGAAGTTGGAAAGGTCGGACATACATGTAGTTTGGATGATGTGAAGTTGGAAGGGTCAGACATACATGTAGTTTGGATGATGTGAAGTTGGAAGGGTCAGACATACTTGTAGTTTGGATGATGTGAAGTTGGAAGGGTCAGACATACATGTAGTTTGGATGATGTGAAGTTGGAAGGGTCGGACATACATGTAGTTTGGATGATGTGAAGTTGGAAGGGTCGGACATACATGTAGTTTAGAGGATGTGAAGTTGGAAGGGTCAGACATACATGTAGTTTGGAGGATGTGAAGTTGGAAGGGTCGGACATACATGTAGTTTGGATGATGTGAAGTTGGAAGGGTCGGACATACATGTAGTTTGGATGATGTGAAGTTGGAAGGGTCAGACATACATGTAGTTTGGATGATGTGAAGTTGGAAGGGTCGGACATACATGTAGTTTGGAGGATGTGAAGTTGGAAGGGTCAGACATACATGTAGTTTGGATGATGTGAAGTTGGAAGGGTCAGACATACATGTAGTTTGGATGATGTGAAGTTGGAAGGGTCGGACATACATGTAGTTTGGAGGACATGAAGCGGGAAAATCATGATGATTTTAAATCTCATAACACCAAAAGGAGAAGAGTTTGATCTCACTTATGAACCGAATAAAAAACCTGAAAGAACATTTATCAACAATTTTATGTTTTAAACATATCTTTCATGAACCTCAGGGCACAGATATACAATATCTGTACTGCTGTAAATATACTTGAGAAAGAGATTCTTCAAAGCATTGTGATCTATCGTCGCCTGTGTTGCCTGGTGCTTGACTCACTGGGCTACAGATAAGAAGATGCAGATTCAGTTCACTGAAACATGAAGAAGACATTAGTCATTTGATTTTACATCATGCCACATATTTCGTCATGTAGATTGTGATGGACATTCTATAGAATATCCCTTAGACGTCATGACTTTCTATAGAATATCCCTTGGACACAATGACTTTCTACAGAATATCCTTTGACAACATAACTTTCTATTGAATATTCCTTGGACATTATGACTTTCTATTGAATATCCCTCGGACAAAATGACATTCCATAGAATATCCCTTGGACAAAATGACTTTCTATAGAATATCCCTTGGACATCATGACATTCTGTAGAATATCCCTTGGACAACATGACTTTCTATAGATTATTACCCATATGGGCTCAAATATGCAGTGTAATAACTTTTTGATATTTGCACAGTGTGCAATTAGTGATTCTCGAAGCTGATTGGTCAGTTTTGTCAAATGTCAATTTTCATTGGTCAACGGGACTATTTTTCTCTCATTGAGTTCATTCACAAATCCAGAGCATTCATTCACATGTTTTACGTGCTACAATCTCACTTAATCGAGATTTATGAGACTAGAACAAAGTTTCATATCAACCACATGATTTCACAGTATAATGAATAAAGCATTTATTTCGCACGAGTTTTAGTTTACAATAAGCGTAATTACAAAAAACAAAACTACGTCTGCATTGTTTGTAAACAAACATGGCTGACCATTTGACACCTGTCAAACTAAATGACCTCGTTAAAGTAGACGGAGATCTGACAGGAAGAGTTATTCGCATAATTCAACCTCTGAACACATTTAATGTCTTTGTTGTCAAAACTGCATATGGCCAGATTGAAGTTCCAAGTTTCAGATTGTGATGTTGCCAGAAACTGTTTCTAGTGCGCTAAAACTCAACACCACCAAGTCCAGATTTGCGTCTGTGTTAGAGGACTTGCTGTTTGGCGGATCTTTCGACCACACGAATCCCCAAAACCGGACTTTGTATAGACAGGTTTGCCTTTGTGAACGATGATGACATCGATAACTGCCAATGAAAAGGAAAACACAATGAAAAAGACTAAATTTGACAAGTTGACATGAACTTAGTTCAAATTTATACTGGTAAGAAAAACACGAAAAATAAGACTACTCACACTTTCAATGATGGCATAAGAATAAAAACAAATTCCTTTTGCAACAACAGTTAGACTTTCCGAAAGACATTATAAACATACGCCATTTCGTAGAATTTAAGTTTGTAACATTGTGTGAAGAAATAAGAACGCGACACTTTTTTATACAATGTATACGTTTTTGTAACCGCGACGTCAGCACAGTACGGCGCTGAGCGGTATGCAGGCTGACTGACGTCCGGGCACCATAAGACTATGAGGGTTAATGACACAGGAAAGGTGCAACTAAACATTATTCTTTGCAAATTTATCATTTCGGCATGCACATCAGACGGTTCAGAATTCGAAATGCCTACTTTGAAGGAGATCAAGGGTAGCACCGAGTGCTACCTTAGCGACAAGATTACCAACATCTGGTTGCGAAATCGATGCACTTTGCTGAACTCAAATAGGTTTTGAAATCAAAACAAAAATAATTAAAAATACAAGGAAAAGAAAACTTACCCCAGCGAGGTGATCCTGTGTCCAACATTGAACTAAATGAGCTCCGTGAATGCGGACAGCTTGTCACCAAGTCTCCAGATACCGTGTTAGTCTATCAACAGGTATTCGACCATATTATGAATCACATCAAAATATCAACAAACTCCCGTTATCTGACTGTGTCCACTCCACAAGCGCGTTTGACTCAAACAAGTCCTCCTAGAATCCCACATGCACATGTTTCCCATCAGTCACACTTGTCTCAAATCACAAACGATGTTCATTAAACTTGTTGTCCGGATTAAACTGTAACGCCGGTTCTCTTGTCATTCCTGGTTTCGGCTGTCTCATATCTTGGTCAAGTCGGGTCATTCTTTCCGACACTGACAGCAATCGTATTTTTCAAAGTTTACCTACTTGTCGTAACTTTTCTCAATCAAACATGACTTCTGTACATTCCTTCTATGTTGTTGATACAGGTTTTTGCATTTTTACCGAATGACACATGAAAAAATTGACATGTTTTCCGTGTTTCCTCTTCTCAATGTGAAATTCATGTCCATGGTGATGCACGACGGCTATTGTCTTGTCAATGAGAGGTCTTGTCAAAACAAGCCTTGATTAAAAAGCCTGTTGAACCTTTTTTGAAAATTGTCTTCTTTTATCAATGGTAGATAGTGTACGCTGTATAACTCAGACAGAAATATAACTGCAATAATGTGATCTTTCAAGTTTTGTTAACAGAACTATATTTTTACGCGTAGCAAGACGTTGTTGATTGAGTAATGCGGCTGGAGTGAGTGGACAGTGTTTTTTTCACACGCGGATTGATACAAAACAGCTGATTCTTGATCGGCGACAGTTCATTGTTTTTTTCTTGAAACATGTCTTTAATATGAATATGGGTAATAAATAGAATAACCCACGAGGTACGAGTGATTACGGAAAATATGTCACTCGTGAAATTAATCTTTTAATTTCCTCGCTAAAGCTCGGAACTTAAACCATTAATTTCACTCGTGACATATTTTCCGTAATCACTCGTACCTCGTGGGTTATTCTATAAATATCCCTTGGACATCATGACTTTCTATATAATATCCCTTGGACATCATAACATTCTGTAGAATATCCCTTGGACATCATGACATTCTATAGAATATCCCTCGGACATCATGACTTTCTACAGAATATCCCTTGGACACAAAGACTTTCTACAGAATATCCTTTGACAACATAACTTTCTATTGAATATTCCTTGGACATTATGACTTTCTATTGA